AGTAACTTTGTTTTTGTGTTTTGGAGTTTTCGAAAAAGAAAAAGAAAAAGTCAACGGCTAAGCATGTTCTACTGATTTAGTCAAGGTTCGGAAAATCGGTTTGGTCAAGCATGGTTCGGTGTGGTCCAAACCGTTTGGATTGAGAGGTTTGGTGTAAAGTGAAATGAACCAACGCGTGACTACTTGTTTGTTTATCATCATCCTTCACAACCAAATGTAATAGTTTAAAGATAACCGGTTTCAAACAGAAAAACCAAACCGGCTTGCTTGAGGCTGATTGTATCTTTGTTGCAACTACTGAAACGTTACAAAGACTACAGAAGAAGAAGAGAAACATCGTTTTCATCGATCTTGAACTTTTTGGTTTTGTTTTCATTTGGGATATTATCGTTTTGCCATTTGTTTTAGATTTTATTAGAGAGATTCATTTGTAACGTTAGTAGTGCTTTCTTTATATTAGTATAATAACTGTCTGATTTTTCGAACACCTAAATCGCTTCTGTTGCGAATAGCTCTACTAACACCCATATGTCAATGTGTTGGATCAATTTTTAAAAGCATTGTAAGAGTTCACTCTTTTGCCAAAAGTTGAATAAATGTGAATAAGAAATTCATTTGGCACATAGAAATATTTCAAATAACAAGGTTTAAAACCTTGTGATATACACTATGGTGTAATTGAGAGAAGATATATCTATGCAAATGCACACCTTACACATGCACATGGCAAGGCCTGACTCTGATACTTTATTATTGTTGGAGTACCAAGATTGAAGATGTCCAACACGTTATCGTTTTCACTCATTACTCCCGTTTAAGCTCTTATACGAAGAGCTATATATCGAAAGTGGTTTAGTAGTTTTGGATCATCATAGTCATGAGCTTTAAAAGCTAAATTATTTTTTTAGAGAAAGTTCTAGATATGCTCTCTTGACTTCTCTAATTACATTTAATTAAATGCCAATCTTTGATATTCAGTAATATGCAACAACTAATTAAGTGATTGTCTTCCTAACATGCAGTGATTCACTCCACGTCTTCATTGTAATAATTTAATTAAAACTTTTTTTTCTTTGGATTTTCAAAAGAATAAAAGGTCAATATGGGTTCATCGTCGAACTGTTCAATATGGGTTCGAAATATCGATTTAATTAAGACTTGAAAAATAAATAGGAGCATGGTTTGGTTCCTCCTCTGCCTCGAAAATCTCCTATAGGGTTTCATGTAATTGATTTCTTCATATTCACGGGACTCGCCACACAAATTGGAAAATGGCGTCGTTTCAGGTTACAAAGTCCTTTGGGTTGATACAAGTAACATTGAATCAAGTTTCTTTTAATTTTCTTATATATTCATTGGAGACAGAATCTGATCGATGCAGAGTTTTACTTTTCCCTAATTTAGATAAATAGGTACGGAGTCACGGAGAGTTTGCACAATTACTCAAGGATCTATAATGTAAAGGAATATTGTCTACTTTAAACAAGAAAAAGATGATAGAAGTTAAGAGCTTAAGTTAAGCTTCACTTAGGCTCTAAACTTCCATCATCTTTGTATCTGAGATTTCTCAGGCTGAAGGACAGAGCATAAAGGATGAAGTCACAAATTAATGTTGTTGTGAGGTGGATTCACCCAAGCGAAGCGATCAGACAAATAGGCACATGAATGGGGTTGAGAATCGAGGGAGTATTACATGTCGATTCTATTCTGCGGTGTATATATTATGTTCCTCTCCTCCGCCGAGAGACCAGCTCTTGTAAGAGAGAAAGAGTAACCTACAAATAATGTCAATCCACCAGATTCTCTAATCTCTTCCCATACATTACGTTTAAGATTTAGTTTCAACACCTTTAGGTTGTAGTAGTTGAGGTATGTATACACAAAGATATCTCCTTCATGCTCCGTCATCAACACTGGCCTAACAAAATCTCCAGGAGAGGGTTTCACTGGAAGAACATTCGATCGAGGTTTATCTAGAGGGATTGAAGACACCGAGGTTACCGTAGTTACTGACACAATAGAACATACCATTCAAGTAGACACAGTTTTTCCAGAACTCATCGGAAAACTGTTTCTCATAGATTGTCCATTCGGCTTCACCAGGCCTCCAAGTACTGATAACATATGACCTCCAATTTGGAAAGGTGATTGAGAACACCAAACAACTACTTGATGTAGGAGCCTGTGATAAAGCTAAACAATGGTCATAGGAATGGCTTGGCCCCTTGGGTAAGTAGATGCTCATATTAAGTAACAATAAAAACGAGGGGTTATGTTTTACCACAAGTAACTAACCATCCCTTGAATAAGAGAGAGTCTATAAAAATTCTTTAAGTCTGGAAAATTGAGCTTATATGTTTGTGACCGTGATGGGTCATAAAGAATGTAGTCCCATCCGTCTTTTGATCCTTGTTGTGGATAAAAAAGCAAAGGACGAGGCTGTAACTTCCTGACAGAAACATCTGCTTCAAACCATGTCTTGCATACAACGGAAGCTCGTATGTTGTCTTTTAATCCGAGGTGGAAAAGTATATCCTGGAGGGAATTTTTACATCACACAATCTAACAATGCACCTGAAAATTACGTGGAGAAGAATTCAGTAAAGAGAATTTAAATGGAACTATACGTTTCTCTCGTTGACGTTTGAATGTTGACTACAGTGAAAGCTACAGACCTAACCCTAATTGAGAGATCATAAACTTGATTCTGATTGAAAAAGAGAAGAAAACTCACGTTGGAGCATTATCTTCAAGGACCTCAAGATTTTGAGGAT